TACTAAGCTGTGCACTAGGGTGGTCCAAAAATGCATGTGGAAAAAGTAAAGTCGGAATTTTAATGCTATCAACTCCTAGGGTTGTTGTATACCGAAAAAATATACGCCTATATTTTATTTTAAAATCAATAAAAAATGTAGAGGTCGCTCAAATGGCGCAAAATTTTCCATGTATTTTATACGGTAATGGCATAGAATTTTATTTTCTTCAGGCGATTCCCAATAATAATATCCGACTGTTTATTCAACCATTTTTCATTGTAACAATATTTTACAGATCCGTCAAAAACCCATGAAAATGCGATGGAGGGACCCATAAAAAATCGTTAGTATTAAAAAAATTGTTAAATAAACAACAAGTCTCCTGAAGAGAAACGAAGTTTGCCGATCGAAAAATATTGATTTTCAAGAATTCTATACCATTTCTACGAAAACTTGTTTTTTTTTTCCATATACATACATGGAAAATTTTAAGCGCTTTGAGCTATCTCTAAATATTTCTTTATTGCAAAATAAAAATAAAAATAAAAATAAAAACAGGAGTAAAGCTTTTTTCGATATAGAACAATCCTAGGGGGTGAATTCATTAAAGTTTCGACTTTGCATTTTTGGACCACCCAAATGTATACAGATGTTTATATTTATTGGCTTGTGCTCTCAAAGCAATTTCACTTTTCTGAGGATGATGTAATCTTAATTTCACTTCGCTTTCATGTGAATATAATCAGCACCGCACAGAATCGCTTCACAATAATTTACAATCAATGTAATGTATGTTTAACTTTTAACGTGATGCTTACATATTTGCATACTCATCCATAAATTAAAAAAAAACAAACAAACGCGTGATAATACATAAATACGTATGTATATATATGTATACATATATATATATAAAGATTTGGAAAGAATTACTTTGAACTTTTGGAGTTTTTTGAGTGTGACTATTTTTGGAATCCAGCATAACCACCACCAATAATGCGCGAAGAATAACTCTTGCCAACGGGTGCTACTTTGGGCTCGGTAGGCAATTGAAAACCAGAGCCCTCTCACGCCGAACAAAAATCACGCTCTACAAATCTCTCATCATGCCCGTACTTTCATATGGCGCAGAAACATGGACGATGTCTAACAAAAATGAGAAGGCTTTGGCGGCTTGCGACAGAACTATTCTACGCAAGATCTATTACCTCGTTCGCGTGGACGATGAGTTCCGAAGGAGATGAAATGACGAACTGTACGAGCCTTTTAACGACATGGACATACTTAAGCGCATAAAAACACAACGATTGTGCTGACTTGGACATGTTGTACGCATGGATGACAACGCGGCCCGGTGAAAATCTCCTTCGACTCCGCACCCATCGGTGGACAACAAAAGCAAGAGCGCCCACGAACACAATGGAAGGACCAAGTGCAGAAGGATCTGTCCGCACTTGGGATGAGAACAACTATCGCAAATCCGCAAAGGAGATAGGTAACTGGCAAAGTTTTTTGGTCTCGGCCCAAGCCGACCAACGGTTGTAATGCCAAATAAGCAGAAGATGTTCGTTGGGAAATAATGCAAACTTTTTTTCCAAAGTCAATTTTGTGTGACCCAAACAGTGCGTTTATTGCTCTACATAAGTAGTGCTAGTGGACAACACTCACGAGAATTTAGCTGACGTAGCAGCTAATTTTTTAAAATTATTAAAGAAATTTTAGAGAACATCGTGGTACTTAACAATAAAAGGCTCTATTTCAATGGGGTTGGTAATGACCCACTTGTCAAAACTTGCTACGAAAATTCATCTGTCGGATATTGCGGGTTAAGCTCACTTTTAATGCATGAGTCCCATTATTGTGGCAACACCTGCGTACGCCGCATGTACATACGTATCGCACCTCCATAGTGACTAAATACTCCCGCGTATCCTTCCTTTCTGTTGCGTTCGCCCAGTTGGTAAAACAAATTGAAAAAGACTTTTGGCACATTGGTAAGGTGTATCACAAAAATAGGTGTCACAAAATAGTTGATTATGCAATTATATTTAAAAACTGTTATAACACTTTTGTTCCATTTCGGAGACATAGCGATTCAAAAAGCTGTGTTCGCCATAATATGCACACTTTCCACAATTGAGGCTAAACGCGTCAAGTACACTCACTCACAAGTAGAGTAGCACATATTCCGCACAGCAATAATTTTGTGCGGAACGGACTGCAATTTGTCGACGTTGAGTTTCTTTAAAAGTCAACGACGAAAAATAAAATTTTGTTGGCTGAAGAAATTTTGGGCGATTAGAAAAGAAATTATTGAATGGTATAAATTTTTTTAAATTTTAAATTTTTTTTTTCATTCACACATCACAAATCGTATGGGCTAAACATCCATTATTTTGCTAAACCACTAAATATACCTATGTATGCATTATCTCACCTTCGCGCTTATGTACATACATACCCAGTGGGAAAAATAGTGTCTAATGCATTACATGCGTGATTTATTGTATTTCTTATGAGTTCTAGATTCCATTACTGTTTAATATGAAATCAGCATTCGAATGTATCCAAAAAGTCGCGAATAGTTCATATTAAATCACATTCACTCTTGCATTACTGTACATATGAACATTTGTGCAAACTATTTAGTATAAAATCATGCAACTTCTTTCTATTCCAATCTTTTACCATTTGCTTACACATCTCCTTCGTTGTTGTTGGCCATCACAGTGCAATGAAGAAAGAAAAAAATATAGAAACAAAATAAAAATGTTATTTAGAACTTTTTCTGGTTCGGAAATTTACGCTTAACAAAAGAAAGAACACAAAATGTAGAGTGAGTTTGAAATTAGGTTAAACGTGATGTGACTGACGGCACGGCACGGTGCGTCTGTCTATCATTCAGCTTCATGGTGACTCGGTTGTTCACCGTTGTTTTGTTTTTTTACTCATTGTCTGGATGTCTGACATCTGAAGGCACGACTATATCTATCGGTGAATTTTGTGAAATGTTGCACCAAGTGCAGACTTTGCCAATATGTGTGTGTACTTACATGCATACATATGTATACATACAACAACAAATAAGATACATACATACATACAAGCATTAAATCAACTGACATAGATTCATATATATACATAAGGTATGTAGTCGCCCATTTACCTGCGAAGTTAATAGTGCATAAACGCATTTTAAAGTAATACATATTGAACATAACTGTTATGTAGAATGAAAACTGAATGAAGCTTCTAGTTGGCACTGAAATTGGGTTATGGAAATTGTAAACCTTTTTATATTCGCTTTTAGCACAATTTAACGTTAAGCATTCCTCTTGTCCCCACCTATTGGTGGAAGTTCTACTTATGTATGTTTTGTTGCATTTAAAATTAAGTTAATTGCATTGATAAATTTGTATGTATAAATTTGTGTAAATATATTTTATTTCATCGAGATTAAATTTATAAAAATTCAAATAACACACATACAGTGACGAACAAAAGTATTGGCACAGTGAATTTTTCGCAATATATGCAAAGTTTTTTTATTCAAATTAATTTTCGATAATTTTTTATAAAAATATAGTTCATTTTACATCAAAAAACATAAAAATAAAATCTCTAAACTTTGTGCAAAACTCGCGAAAATTCAATAAATTTGCACACTAATTTGCAACTTTCTATTCAGATCTTTTAGAAAAATTGTAAGTATGCAGTTTTATATATAGTCCATTCAATTTTAGTATGACAAAATGCAAGTTTAAAGTTGATAGAAAATCGAAAAAAATAATTGTTGATATACTTTGTATGGAAGAACTTGCGTGAAAAAAATTACCAAAAATCAACGCGATTTTCTAGCGACTTCAAATTTGCACTTTGTTATACTAAATTTGAATGGGCAATGAAACTGCATACTTACAATTTTTCTAAAAGATTTGAATAAAAAGTTGCAAATTAGTGTCCAAATTTAATTGATTTTTCTTAGTTTTCACAAAATTTAGAGATTTTATTATTATGTTTTCTGTGTAGAATGAACAATATTTTTATTAAAAAATATCGAAAATAAGTTAGAATAAAACACTTTGCATATATTGCGAAAAATTCACTGTGCCAATACTTCTGTTCGGCACTGTATGTATGTGTGTATTTAAATACACATAAGCCTTTTCTTTTTGGGTACATTACTTAACAACTCTGTCGCTAAAAGTATAATTTCATTTAACTATTCCGAGCAAATAAATATTTTCTTTTAGGAACGGAAAAAATCATTATTTTTAAATTTTAACCAAAAAAAAAATCTACAAGTTGTAATCAACAATTTTAACTATACTCACGTATTTGTGTTTTCGTGCATCCTATTGTGATTTACAATGATTTTTATTTTTCGAGTTTATCCAATGAAGATTAAAGATAAAAAATTAATTTAAGTTTTACTTTTTCGCTCAAAGGAAATAATTATTGATTTTTATTCGATCAAAGATAGTGCTAACATTAAGTTTTATTTTTTCAATTATAAATAATGGTTATTCAAAAAACTCAAAGGAGCTATACCAGCATGATTTCCGACGTATCTTCTTTAGAGGTAGCGACACCCTAATAAAAGGAATAAGTCCCAAAGTTTTCAGGGTGAAATTGCAGTATATTGCGTCTGTACGGTCTTTTAAATTTTATAAATAATCATTATTTTTAATTGGAAAAATAAAACTCAATAATATTTATTATCTCTGAGCGAAAAAATAAAAATCTTAAAATAATCTATAAATATACTTTTTTTAACAAAAAATATGGGCATTCTTTTTTCCATTTAGGAAAATCTTAGGGGAAGATAGCTTAACATTTGAAACTATTTCTCCCCGCATGCATTTTTGGACCACCCTATTCATATATCCATAATCTTTAGTCCTATTTTGTCTTATTTTGTATTACCAGCGACCTTATCCATAGCTATTTTAATTTAATTTTTTTACTTAAGACATTAATTCAAAACGAAACAAAAAATACCAACTTTTTATTCACAGAGAAAGGTCTCGATCACATTGCCGAAAACATACTCACCTATTTGGATGCAGATTCGCTCAAGTCGGCCGAATTGGTATGCAAAGAATGGTTGCGTGTTATTTCCGAAGGCATGCTCTGGAAAAAGCTGATCGAACGCAAAGTGCGCACCGATTCCTTGTGGCGTGGCTTGGCCGAACGTCGTGGTTGGATGCAATATCTCTTTAAGCCACGGCCTGGCACCACTCATAGACCACACTCATTTTATCGCGAACTCTATCCTACTATAATGAAGGTAAGTACATACATACATACATACCTCGCATTTTGCTTCCTTTTTTACTAATGTTTTCTTTACTTTATTACTTTAAAGGATATTGAGAGCATAGAGAGTAATTGGCGCAGTGGTCGTCACATGTTACGTCGCATTAATTGCCGTTCGGAGAATTCAAAGGGCGTCTATTGTCTGCAGTATGACGATCAGAAAATTGTTTCTGGGCTGCGTGATAATACCATTAAAATTTGGGATCGTACGGACTTGCAGTGTGTTAAGGTGAGATTACCGGAGCAGCATGTTCTAAGAAAGGCAAAATATCTCTAAACGAATAATTTACTTGTATCATAGACCCTAACTGGTCACACAGGTTCGGTTTTGTGTCTTCAATATGACGATAAGGTCATCATAAGCGGTTCATCGGATTCGACGGTGCGCGTTTGGGATGTGAACACCGGCGAAATGGTCAACACACTGATTCACCATTGTGAAGCTGTGCTTCATTTACGCTTCAATAATGGTATGATGGTAACCTGCTCGAAGGATCGTTCGATTGCTGTTTGGGATATGACCTCGCCCAGTGAGATCACCTTGCGACGCGTTTTGGTCGGTCATCGTGCCGCCGTGAATGTTGTGGATTTTGATGAGAAATACATTGTATCGGCTAGCGGTGATCGCACCATCAAAGTGTGGTCAACATCGAGCTGTGAATTTGTGCGCACATTGAATGGACATAAACGCGGTATTGCGTGTCTGCAGTATCGTGACCGTTTGGTGGTCAGTGGCAGTTCAGATAATTCTATCAGGTGGGTGAAATAAAAAGCTAAGAATGCTTAACATACATATATATTTATTTATATCGTGATTTTCAGACTTTGGGACATTGAGTGTGGTGCTTGTTTGCGTGTGCTGGAAGGCCACGATGAGCTAGTACGTTGCATACGCTTCGACTCGAAGCGCATTGTTAGCGGTGCTTATGATGGTAAAATTAAAGTTTGGGACTTGGTTGCGGCGCTGGATCCGCGCGCACAGGCAAATACTCTTTGCTTGAATACCTTGGTGGTAAGTGAATTGAAATTCTTCGATGATACAGCTCCTTTGATTGAGTCGAACAGAAAAAAGTTGATTTCGCTGTTGGGAAAATAACAGGGGCTTAAATATATATTTTTGTTTGTGTTTTCTAAGACAAATTTCGACTGCTGCTCTACCGATTTTCACACAACATATGTTCATACAAATATACACTACACATTATAGGCGGCATACACCGTGCGTCTGACTCGTGAGTCGGTTTATGTATATGTGTTTGTGAAAATAAATATGTGTTAGTTACAACGACATAACTCCTGGCATGACTCTGAATGATTCAACTGCCTGTAGTCGAAGGGGAGTCAACACGTACGCAAATGACTCGGGAGTCAGACGCACTGTGTATGTCGCCTATTAGACGAGCATTTGTATGGTTATTAGTCGAATAACTACATGAGGCCTACTTACTTACAGATAGCATTTTCTTCTAAGCAGAGATTGCAAACAAAAGTTATTAATAGATTTTGAAATCAAAAAGATATCGTGAAATTGTTGTTTTTTCGAAGATACTTATACGATTAGAATCCTTAATGACTTAACAAAACTTGACTTGTTTACTTTTATTTTTTATTTTGGCATTCAGAATAAAATGAAATATTTCGTAATTTTTGGTTATTTTTTAGGACTTTCAATATTTTCTCGTTTTATTTTTCGAAATTCTTGCATAAATTTTCGGGACCTTTCGGAATTGATTTAGCCCTTTTCGGGATTTTTTAAGATTTTTCGAAACTTTCGAGTTTTTCCATGACTTCATTTAAAGTACACTTACAAGTAAATGAAATTTTTAAATTTTTTTTCATTTAAATTTTGGTTTTGAATAAATGGAATTTTTAAAATGTTTACCATTAATGCAATGCACTAATCATTGAAAAAAATTACACATTTAAATTTTGATTTTTCAGGAGCACACAGGCCGTGTCTTCCGCTTGCAATTCGATGAATTCCAGATTGTCAGCAGCTCGCACGATGACACCATTCTCATATGGGATTTCTTGAATTTCCAACCCAATGAAAATGCGTCCGGCCGCCCTCCATCACGTAAGTTCATCGCTTTTAGTACAACTGATTTTCATGGATAAAACAAATAAAAAATCTCTTCCCGATTTAGCCGCCCTCACGTTAATGGAACATTAACGTTTCGCATTGGTTAAGAATTTCAATAATAATAATAATATTAATAACAACAACAACAACAACAACAACAACAACAACAGCAACAACAACGCAACTGGTGTATGACAAATTCACGCTAAAGCGAACGTAAAGGCACTTCTAATTCAAACACCCTAATATAAAAAAAGCAAAAAAAGGTTAATTGTGTTAAATTTAACCGACAACACAGCAACATAACGAAAATTGTAAAGAAAAAGAATCTGAATAAAAAACAACAACACAAAATACAAATAATATCGTCGTTTGCTTGCCGTGGCAGCTGATCTCCGGACAGATAAGAAAAAAACAATTCATAAGCATAAAGCGCGTGGAAAACACAATGCATCCCTTTGTGAAGAAGCAATGGAGATTGTTTAAGCCAAGTCGTTAATCCTAAAGTTGTAAATGCCACGCCATAAGTGAACAGATACAATGTATGGATGTGTGCGTATGTGTGCAACAGCTGACACACAACTTATTATTAAATGCTTAGTATTATTGAGGACAAAAATTAAGCCGATGTGAAAAACATGATGATCATTTAATGGTAAATGTTAACAAAATTATTAAAAAAAAAAATATTATTTGGCATTTAGGCAATGTAAAATTTCCAAATCGAAATCGAGAGTGGTGCGAACATGCTGGACGTACTACAGCTGCAGAAAACAGGAAAGCGCAGAAAGGAAGTATGGACATCCATCATCATCATCATCATTATCATCATATAAGTTGAAGCATACACATGTGAAACAATTTTAATTTGTAACTAGCGTAGAAATGTTGAACAAAATACAAAATAAAATTATATTGAAAAATTTGCAGACATAATGAAAAAGAAGGAAATAAATAAATTGAATGTATGAATAAATACGTAGATTATTTAAAATTTTGCAAACACATTGGATTGATCGAACGCTGAGATAGTTCAAAGGATGAGATAAAAAATCATACATACAACCCATAGAATAAATAAATAAATAAATAAATAAAGTTTAACATATATGAAAATGCTCACATACATAAGTACATACTTACCTTAGCCTTGTCAAAAAAAAAAAGTAAAAAATTAAAATAAACTTAAACAAATCCTGTGTACTTCAAACTTTTAGAAAACGTATGTATGTACTCTTATAGCACTTCTAATTCTCACTCTCAAGCTGGCTAGCTTGATTTGAATATGGTAACCTATAAATTAAATACATATACAAAAGGAGCGATTGTCTGCTTAGTTGTTGTAAAAGCATAATATTATTAGTTTTGTTTAAATTTGTATCCCAGTTTCTAAGCAACATCCAAAACAAAAGTTGATAACAAGATTTTTCCCAAAACCGTCGCCCCTCGGGGGGCAATAGCAAACCTATAGCAATCGGAGTTCGGAGTCGGCGTAAGACTGTTGTTGTTGTTGTAGCAGCAGTACTCAACCCCCCGGGGTTTCGTCAAGGGTCGTCTTCGTCCTCTGACTCGACAAGCCTGAGGCCGAGAAAGCGGGCAGCGTCTATAGGCGCGGTCCATAGTGCTTCTGGTGTCAGGGTCGTGGGGTTAGAGGCGCATGCGAAGAGGTGTTGGGTGTTGTGTGGACCTTGCCCGCATGCAGAGCATGTGTCTGCCACTTCTGGGTTCAGCCGGGAGAGATAGCTGTTTAATCTGCGGCACCACTCAGAACGGAGTTGTGCTAGGGTGCACCTGGTCTCTCTAGGTAGTTCGCCTTCGTCGATGTTGATGGGTGGCGGTCGACCACCTAGAACGATGTTGTCGTTTCTGGTGCTAAGACTCGACCTGACTGCATCGGTGTGTAGGTGGTTAAGCGCCGCTCTGTATTTCTCTGCGTCGAATGGGTGGTCTACGCACGGCTCGACGTCGGATTTCCAGTCGTGCAAGTGACGTCTGACATGTCGGGGAGGCGGTCCATTTCGAAGCAGGGCGTTATTGGGGTGATTTCCACGGTAACATCCCACGAGGAACTGCTTCGATAGCAACGTGTTGTGCTCTTTCACCGCCAGCATCTGGCTTTCTTGGTGGAGGTGATGCTCGGACGACATGAGATGGCAGCCTGTAGCCGTGCGTAGAGCTGTATTCTGGCATGTTTGTAAGTTTCTCCACTGCGTATCGCTGGTACCCGCCGTCCACACTGGCGCTGGTGAGTAGGGTTTCTTTGTCGGCTCCCCAAGTGCTGCCGGCTAGTGACTTGAGGACTTTGTTCCTAGCTCGCATCCTTTCGCAGGACCATGGCGATGCTTCGCTTGGGACAGGTGGTTCGCAAAATACGCAAGGCCTCTAGTATCTTTGCTACCGGGGAAAGGAGTGTTATCGGACGATAAGACTCTCCTTTGTTAGCTGATTTCCCCGGTTTGAGCATTGGACCCACTCTCCCCATCTTCCAGATGTCTTCAATGACGAGAGTGGCCATTGAGAGGTCAACGCGATTTTTTAGCCGTTCATCAGACTAACATCCCGATTGTGTGCACTTGACAAATTACAAATCATTATAATTTGTAAATTTTTTATTATTTAACGAGAACAATAGGGGATACCTCAATGAATACTCTCAGGTAAGCTACGCTAACATAGATTTGCTTGATTTCCAGGGTGCTTCATTTTTTGTTACGTCATCTTAACAATAGCATCGTTTGATATCTGCCTTCTCTTTCCCTACTCGGAAAGTTCTATGCATTCTCTGCATTATCTTTCTGTCGAATACTTGGAGCCCGTCAAAGCGACATACAAAGATTAGATATGAGAAGAGGATTCTGAAGTTCTGAGCCTCGATGTTTTTTCGTTCTTAATTCGCACAATCGTTAATTTCCATAACCGTATTAACCAAGAATAACACGGGCCGACAAAATTAAGTGCAAATATTTTAGCAGAAGACAGAGTACTTTTCCAAAAGTTTTCAACGTACTAAATTCCAATCCGGGGTCATGACTACTCTGGCGAGATATTTTAACAAAGCAAAAAACACGATTATGGCCTATATTTGAAGTTATATAGCATAGTGTTTTCTTTTTTTTCTAAAACAATAAAACATACGCAGCATCTTAAAGTACAGGTTTATTTTTTTTTTGAGTTTACCGCCGAGTTTGTCCCAATATCTTTTTTTCGTCGATAAGGATAAGGCAGAATATTTTGCTTTGTTTTTTCGTTTCAATAAAAGTGCTTATTTCATACAAAGTTTGTAAGAAAGATTTTCTGACGGGTTTTATCGGAAGTATCGGGAAAGAAGGCTCTATTAGAGAATTTGGTTCAAAAACGCCCTATCTCCGATGAAAATGTGCTGAGATATGGCTTTTTTGAACCGAATTTTGAAATAGGGCGTTCTTCAATCAATAGGGAGTTCTTGAAAATTTTTCTGAGATTAGGCGTGTTTGAACTAACTGCCGAGATAGGTCGATCTTCCACTCAGGTGTCGATATGTACATATGTATGTATGAACGTATATGTACATGCATACCTATGTACTTCCTACTGGACGGTTCAGCGTCCTCACGACATGATTAAAGTTTCATCCGATCTTATTAGTACCATCAATAAAGCTTCACTACTCATGTTGGCTTCTGTAAGTCAAATAATTTTGCTTGAAAGATGCTGCATTTGAGTTACGAATAATAAAGGTTCTCGAATTGTAAACCAGTTAGGTTGCTGCATTAATGTACGAGAAGGAGGAGTTGTGTTTCACTCAGAATTAGGCCCGGCCCGGCACGAGTGCAAAATCAACTTTCAAAAACACACACGAGCCCGCACGTTAAGAATTTTAGTGGGGCCCGGCCCGGCACGACGGAAATAAAGAGCCAACTTTTATTGTATGTATACATATGTACATATTTTTAATTCTGTGTTTATGTCCATATGTATATTTACTTAAGCGAGACAATATTTTACATCAAAGATTTTTATAATATGTATATTTTCCGGGAAGTAGAAAAAGTGGAAGGTATTTTATGTACAGATATGTATGTAAACGAAACTACTAAGCATCATATTTTTTTTATTGGTTTCCAAATATTTCTTTTTTTTCTCTCATCAAAAGGGTTTTAATTATGTACTATTTTTTTTTTTTGTATAAAAACAAAAGCTCATCTAAATTTTTGGTATTAGCAACGGGCTTTTTCGTGCTTATTCGTGCTTTTATGAAATTTTACTGAACGCCCAGGCACGCACGAGTTCGTGCTGACAGCAAATATTCCGGCCCGTGCCCATCTCTACTCAGAATGAACTGTTGTACGTTCCTCTAATGCCACTACCGCCACATGATCCGTTATTGCGAATAAACGAGCGACAATTTGTTTCGAACAAATCTGCTTGTTTTTTCTTGTGCTGAATTTCCACTAGGCATCAAATCGCAAAAATTGTAATGACATAGTTGGGCATTAGAAAATATTTGTACCATTACATTAAAAAATTGTAATTTAATTCATTTCCACATATTATTTTTTAAATGCCTCAAACTCTTGTAATTTCAATGTCTAGTGGAAATTCGTCATTACTTCCAAAGACCCATATACATACATACATAATAACTGATTGACCTTTTATTTCTGGCTCCTGCGCATATACATATGTATCTATGTATGTAAGTTACGTCACCTGCGCGCTTGTAAGTACTAATCGACGCGAGCCTTTTTTTTGAAAAATTTTCAAATGATGTAAATGAATCCAACTTGCATTCAGTTTTCTAATGGCCAAATGTTTGAGCAATATTGTAACCAGTGTTGCCAGAAAACAAATCGTTTGGAGCTAAACCGGTCAAAAAAATAAGTAAAAATTGCTAGATAATATTAATAGTAGCTGAAATGAAGAACTATTTTTTTTTAAGTTTAGCGTTTATTGACGTAAGGTTTTCATTTTTACATTTTCCGTATTTTTAATAGAAGCAACGAATTTTATAAACTTAAGTGCTGAAAAAACGTTTACAACCAAAATAAGGTTCATACACAAATTTTTGTGTGTAGGGAATAAAAAGCTGTAAATATTTTGCAAAGCTATGCATGACAAGCAGTTATCAGTAGGGCTCGGAATCTCATGCACTAAAAAATCGAAAATATGCGCGTATAATATACACTCAAAATTAAAAAAATATGCCCTATAAACGAGTAACATATGCAATTAAAACATTTTTCCAAATATTTTGTTGCCGGTACAAAAATAAATATCACATATATTTTAACCAGAAAAGACCGACAATAATTCATTTCAAAATGCAATACATATTTATGTATAAAATTATAGCCTTATTCATAAGAAATACATTAGTTTAAAAA